GGTGCTGGGGGATTGAACCGCGGTCCCTGTGCTTTGCTAAGCTTGTTCTAAGTAGGTGCTTTAGACCACTGAGCCATCTCTCCAGCCCCTTTTTTTTTTTTTGGTATCAGGAATCAAACACAAGACCTGTGTTTATCAGGCAGGCCACTGACTTATTCCCTGGCTCTTTTTCTCAGTCTTGGACTTCCACCTCCAAAGAACACAGTCCCCTAAAGATGGCTTCACCACTATCAGAAGTGATGATCTGGACCAACTTGTTATCTAAAGCCTTTTTTCTCACTTTCTACCAGCCACCACTCTGAACCAACAGGTCCCAGATCTGTCTGCACCATCTTGTCATGGTGAGTGGAACCAGAACTGTCAGATTTAATTGGACTCTCAAGTTCAGTGAGGGCCTGAGGCAGAAGCAGCATCAGGAGGGTTCTGTAGAAGTCAGATCACAGATGGCTCTCCAGGGAAGCTTTGGAAGAACACGAGCAAGGAACACAGAGGTATGAACCAAAATAGGAGGGCTAAGAGAAGGGTCATGTCCATCTACACAATCATAAGATGAAAATGAAACTGAGAATCACGACTTTTCTGCTGATAAAAGAACTCCAAGGTGAAAAAGAAACCTAGAATTTAGAATATCCTCCTAGAGGAATGACACAATTTCATCTACAAGTGAATTACAAGGAGCGAGAAAAGCTCTAAATGGTGTCACCTGGGGATGGCGCAGGCACTCTGTGGGCAGAGCTGAGGGTGGACAAGGGAGCATGGGGGGAAGTGGTGAGTTATAGCAGGCAGTTGTGACCAAGAAGGGAAGGAGGAAAGGTGCTCCTGAGAGCATGGAAGACAGGAGAGGAGCTGGGGAGCATTTCACACAGGGAAATGAGGAGGGGAGAAATGGCTGGGAGGGCTAAGGAGTAAGGGAGAAATGGCTGGAGGGAATAGGCTGAGAGAGGCTAGGCAGCAGGGTCAAGATAATGTGTGAATGAAGTGGCTTGTGGTTCAGGCCTTGGTGCCAAATGGTCAGAATCTGGGCTGAGACCAAGGGCTGGGGGAGGGCACTATCTCCCCCATCCTGCCGATTCTGGTCCTGAGATCAGCTTTCATTCTGTCTTTGAAATGGAAAATGTCACAAGTTTTAGTGGACATTGCCCAGACTTGGTACTATTCTACCTACTGAGATAACAGACAAGAAGGAAGAGATGTTCTTCTGCCCTGGGGCAAAGGCAGCCCTGTGTCTTCAGGGAGTCGTGCTGAAGCTGGATTCAGGATGGCCCTGGGCAGGAGGATGCTGAGGAATTGATGCAGGCAGGCACAGGTGCTCAGGACAGGGAAGAGAGTGCCTGCTGCTCTGAACCACTTCTCCACATAGGATCAGTGAGTCTGGGCAGGCAGTGGTGCTTGGGCCTGCAGAGTTCATTTCAGAGGGCTTCCAGTCTGAGACAAGATTTTCTGTTCAAGTCTGGCATAGCGGGGAAGGAGGGCCTCATAGACCTGCAGGGGCGGCAGAAATGATAGCTTAGAACAGGATATAAGAGGCAGGTGCTTCTGGTTACCACTTGTAATTTAAAATTTTTGAATTCCATTTATTTGCAATTTAACTTCCTCCCCCACTGAGCAAAGGAAAGGAACCACCAATTCACAAAAGAGGAAATACTAAATGGGGTGTGGTGACGCATGTTTATAATCCCAGCTAATTACGAGGTGGAGGTAGGAGGAGCAAAATTCAAGGTCAGCCCAGGCAATTTAGTGAGATCCTGTTTCAAAATAAAATAAGGGCTAGGGACATAGATCAGTGAGAGAACACAACTAGATTCAATCCCCAGTACAAATGAAACTCATTAATCTATATAACATGTATAATAAAAAAGTGAGGAAAATAAATTCATTAATTAAAAAAAAGACAACACTATAGTAGTTCTTAGGCTTATAGGCTAAGGAATATACTCTTGGGGATTGCACCCAGGGGCTTTGCACTGGACTAAATTCTAAGCCCTGTATTTTTTATTCTGAGATAACATCTCACTAAGTCAATAAGTTGCCCACGCTAGGCCTGAACTTTTGATCCTTCAGCTTCAGCCTCCCAAAGTGCTAGGATTATAGGTGTGTACCACATTCCCAGCTGACTTTATTTTTATGGTTGTGTGTGTTGAGGACTGACCCTAGGGCCTCACACATCCTAGGCAAGCACTCTACCCTGATCTGCACTTCTATCCCTACATCTTCTTAATACTGTAAGTTTTGACAAGAAACAAGTTTTTGCTACCAAATACACAAAAGTTAAAAAAGGTTCTAGTAGGAGAACCTAGAAAGAGCTGTCTCTGCACGGCTGATGAAAGTGGGTGGTATAACCCTTTGGAAAATCAACTTGACTCTATGTTCCGTATTAAAGGGTCCACAGTCTGTGACACAGTTATTCTACTTCGGTGAAGCTCTTTCTCCGAAAGAAATAGTCCTAAATGCAAGGTCCCAAGCTCCCTGGGGGTCTTCATAAACCCCAGTAAATATTCAGATTTATGAGATATAACTGAAAAATATGGTGAACATTCAAAAAGTTTTAAAATGTATTCTAGTAAATTAGCATAGTGTCTTTACTTGTGTCATTATGGCTGCCTTAATGTCCTGCAATGACTAAAACTGTTTCACTTTCATGCTCATTCTGACTTTTGGGAAACTTTATTTTTTAAAATTTTATTTATTTATTTATTTATTTATTTATTTATTTATTTATTTTTGGGAACTGGGGATTGAACTCAGGCCCTTGTGCTTGCCAGGGAAGCGCTTACTCCACAGAGCCATCTCCCCGGCCCCTTCATTCTGACTTTTGGGAGGAGTCAGAAGTTACACAGTTCCAGATTCAGTGAGTATGGTGGGTGAGGACACTGTTTTCCCAAACCTGCCTTAGAACCAGATGGTACTTGGCAAGTGCATTCACTGTATTTTTTGTTAGACCCCATAAAGGCAATCAAACAAAAGAGATTTCTAGAACTGCTTCAGAAAGTGGTCAGAACGATGGAATAAGCATTTCTGAAGGAAAGGGGAGGGTTTTTTTTTTTTTCCTTGTCTTTTTGAGACAGGGTCTCACTAGGAAGTTCAGGATGGCCTTGTGTTCCCTTTGTGGCCCCGGTTGATCCTGAACTCTCAATAGTCTTCCTGCCTCAGCCTTCCAAGTGTTGGGATTACAGGGGTGTGCCACCACACCTGGTTTGAAGGGGAATATTTTCAGGAAGACTCATGGCAATGTGTCATTCACTATAAGAGATTGTTAACATTTAAATATTCACCCTATTTAGGTCACCCCTTGTGTAAGCCTGCCACAGGCTACATCTTGGCATATGAAGGGCAAAGGAGAAAGCTGGCAACAGCCTTCCTATGCAATAGCAGAGCAGGTGCAGTCCCTACAGACGTTCACCCAGCTGTCCATAGGAAGGTGTCTTCCTTCCCATCTTCTCCCTTCCCACATCACAGCTCAGGCACCCGCTGATTCCTGCCTCTAATAACAGCTGTGTGAAGCTATGATGTTTGGAGCAGCTTACAGATGTTCTAGGATCACCCAAAGCACAGCCAGAGCAGCACCAACCAATACCACAGCCACAAGCCATGAAATGTGCCTGTAACTGCAAATAGCAGTTATAGCAATAGCTTCAGACAAAAAAGATGTTAAGGGGGCTGAGGATATAGCTCAGTGGCATAAGCACCTGCCTGGCAAGTGCCAAGTCCTGAGTTCAATCCCTGGTACCACAAAAAAAAAAAAGTTAAATATTATACTAACAATATTTCTAATTGGCTACCTATTGAAGGGACCATATTTTGGATACACTGGTTAATTACAATACATTATTCATTATTAAAATTAACTTCAATTGTTACTTTTGAAAAATGATACTACCAGAAAATTTGCAAGGCCCTCTGTGGCTCACATGAGGTTCTCATCATCCACTGCTGCCTTGAGGAATCACAACGAAAGTGACGAAGGCCTGAAGCCAATCTGCTGGCCAACACTACGTTCAGACTTCCTGTGGAAGTCAGCAGCATCTGTGAGTTCCAGCTGATAATCTGGCTCTTCTGCACCATTTTCTTGGGATGTCAAAAAAGTAGGATCTCTCTTTTAGCTGAGCACCTCAATTTTGACATAGGTGACAAAAAACCCCTTACCTTCTGTTGGGGAAAAGATCCTAGTCAGCTCTCATAGTGCAAATGATATGGTAGAATCTGATGGTCACTCACCTCAGAAGCTCCCGGGGTTGGTGTGGCAGCCAGTCTGGGTTTTGGGGCTGACTTCACAACCTCTGAAAAGGCCATATCCGTTCCACCTGCAAGGCCTAGAAGGGCAAGGTCATTTTACCTCTGCGCATGTTGCAGAGGAAGTAGGCAACAGTAGGCAGCATGAAGGCTCACAGCGGTAAAACCAGGTACCTGTTCTAAAACCAGGTATAGGGCTGTAGCTCAGTCAGGCCTTAGATGTATTACCCAGCACAAAAAAGAAAAAAAATCTGTTCCAAAACCCAATTATGGTAGCGGCTGCAAAGCACATCAAATTCACTAAAGATCACAGAATTGAATGCTTAAAGTGGGCAATCTTTATGTATATGTACTGTGCCTCAATACAATCACTTTAACGAGAAAAATTTCCAGTGCTGGCCTCTCTTCAGCAAGCACCTAGACTGTCTTGCTCCTTGTGAGCACCCCTTCCATGGGTGATGACCGCAGTCTCAGGCATACGCAGAAGAGGTGGGTGGCCCACTAGTTCTCCCTCTTGTCCTGCTGCTCTCCTGCCCCTCACTTCCTTCTAGCCACCCAGGGCTTCTTTCAATGTGTTCTGCCCCCAACAAAGTGGCTAACATGCCTCTGGGAGGTGCTGGTGAGCTAAGGTTTAGCGCAGGATTTGGTTTTGGATGACAGAGCAAGGCAGGACCCGTCTGGCAACTCCATAAGCATAGAAAAAGAAAACAAGAACAAGACAGCACAGTGAGGTTTTCAACTTCCTTCCCACTAGTGCAGAAGAAAGACAGTAAAATAGACTCAGCCTTCTCTCTAGCTACACTGTAGGCTAGCTCTTGCAGCAGTATTTTCAAAGTTCTCAGAAGTATTCTGAACTCAGTCCTTTATCCAGCTCTTCTTTGGGATGGTACAACAAAGACCCATTGGACGTGTCAGGCCACAGAATCATCATTTGCTGAGCCTTGAATTCTCTCTCAAAATATTTATTTAGGTTGCACAGGCTGATGAAACTAGCAGAGGGCTGAGGGTGTGGCTCAGTGATAGAGCACTTGCCTACTGTGTGCAAAGTAGGGTCAATCTTCAGCACCAAAAACAGTGGCCTTGCATAGAAATACAGGAGAAAGAAACTGTAGGAAGTTGAAGCCAGGCAAGGTGGTACACACCTGCAGCCCAGCACTGTGGAACACTGAGGCAGGAGGGTCACAAGATTGAGATGAACTTCCATAGGCCTTGGGTTTAATCTGTAGTACCAGAGAGAGAGAGAGAGAGAGAGA